TCCAATTCCTTTGACAATTCAATGGAGCCTCAACTTTGGCATCAGTTAAGATTGCTTGGATAAATAATAAATACCTGGGTTTGGGGCACTTTTACGTGTTTATATCTTTACAGAGCACATCTATATACAGTAGGCAAGATGCAATTACTCAAGTTGGAATCTGTTCAGGACATGGGGACTAATAAACCAACTTTTGCAAAAAGTGCTGAGAGTTCTTTAAAGACTACAAATGGTCATGACTGAATTTCTCATCTGAAAATGTACCAGGCTGGGACATTGATTCATTAGTGACTCTGAGGGGTGAGCACCCCTTACCAGCTTATTAGCACCACTTTCTGAAACACTTACTCAAATGCTGACCGGTTCTGATCCTATTTAGTGGGATCTGATGCACTCAAAGACTGATGTAATATGACTGCAGGATATCCCGTTGTAAGTTTCATCTATCTTGAGTCATAATGTATAGATGAGGTCATGGAATGCTTGAGAAGAAATGAAAGAGGGGCCTTGCAAAAACTTCCCACACGACCCTGGCAGCCCCAGTGACTGGGAAATGTGACCTTCCTGTTCAGAAACAGTATAAATCAAGATTACAAATTGTATAGATGACACCCTTGCTCCTGGAGGTTCTGTGATTGATAATTAGAGTCGGGTGGCTGTGACAGGGGTTTTGTGTGAGGGTGTCAGAGATGACTGTAAACTACTAATTCGCAGAGGAGAAAAAGCAAAGTAACAAGCAGCATTCTCAGTGTGGTGACAAGGACACGCCACCATGGAGCATGAGTTTTCTGACTCTGAGGAGGATGAAGGTGGGATTTTTAGTTAATACATTGTTTTTAAAATAATCTAAGGAAAACCACCAGAACCCCCACATGTGTTACCACTGCTATAAGAGGGCTCCATATACATGTAAGACTCCCACTTCCCACCCAAACTGAGCAATTAGGCAGCCATTGGTAAAAATCTGGAGCCTGCTGAAGTAAACCGGGATGTATAGTGCGTGTACACTTAGGTAAAAACATAGGAGCTGCCATATTGGAGCAAACAATGGTCTATCTAGTCTGGGATCTTGCTAACAGCTGTGGTCAAGGTCTGATCTTTCAGAGGAAAATAAAACACTCTAGAATAGGTCTCGGGAAGAGCTAGGTCTTAGGAGATACTGAGCACCCTCAACTACCATTGACGTCAATAACTTATGTTCTTATGTAGGGTGCTCAGTACCTTGCAGGGTTAGGCTCTAGTTATGCAGTGGCTGTCACTGAATGTGACATGGCAGGGATAGGGGGATAAAATACTTTACTGACCCTCCTGTTGGCCATCATGCTTATACTCTGAAGCATTAAGGTCTGTATCCCTTTGTAGTATTATGACCCAAATTCCTAGCGGAGTATAGTTGCTCATATTTAATTTCTTCAGTAAGACTCACACTTGGATGATTTTTGGCCATAGTATAATGAAGTTTTGGCTTTATAACTTAATTATTGTAAAATTTTCTTTATTTAAAATGTACAAGTAATTGAGCCATTGTTACTATAAACCACGATTAAATAGTTACGGAAGTGCCAAGCATTCATACTAACACACATAAACTTTCCATACAGATGTTAAACAAATCTTACTCATAAACGGTATTTGTGACCTTTAAAAATTCCCTTTGTGTTTGGTCAACATCTTATAATTATCTATGTATTTATTTTGTTCAAATTCAAAAAACAGTAATATATATATTTTAAAATCGACTCGATCCTGCTGTAAGGCTGGCTGTCATTTTTTTCCATTGGAAGTATTTTACATACTTTATTTCCTATACCACTAATGGTGGGGGATCTGTACTTTTCTAAAAGTGAACGATCATGCATCTGGTGCTAGTAGTAATTGTGTTATTCATAGATGCACAGATTCTAAGGCCGGAAAGGTCCACTGTGATAATCTAATCTGACCTCCTTACACAGGCCATAGAAATTCCCAAAATAATTCCTGTTTGAACTAAAGCAGATCTTTTAGAAAAACAGTCAATCTTGCTTTAAAAATTGCCAGTGACAGAGAATTTACCACAACCCTTGGTAAATTGTTCCAGTGTGTAATTACCCTCACTGTTAAAAACTTACACCTTATTTCCAGTCTGAATTTGTCTGGTTTCAATTTCCAGCCATTGGATCTTGTTTGTCTGCTAGATTAAAGAGACCGTTATTAAATATTTGTTCTCCAGGTAGGTACTTGCAGACTGTGACCAAGGCACTCCTTAGCCTTCTCTTTGTTAAGCTAAATAGATTGAGTTGTTGGAGTTTATCACTATATGGCATGTTTTCCAATCCTTTAATCATTCTTGGGCTCTTCTTTGAACCCTCTCCAATTCATCAACATGTTTCTTGAAGTATGGACACCAAAACAGGACTCAATATTCCAGCAGTGCTGGCACCAGAGCTAAATATAGGTGTAAAATAACCTCTCTACTCCTACTCGAGATTCTGGTGTTTATGCACCCAAGGATCAAAGGGTCCTTCCCCAAATCAATAGTCTCCTTTGGACTGTAACATAATAAAATCACTATCGGTTCTGTGGGTAGCCTAACTTAAATTATTTTGAAAATTTTATTTGCTGTTTTTGTGTTCAAAATACTATTATATCAAGACATTCCCACCATAACATGCAGAACAGTCCATATTCCTCCAAATCCTCTCCAGCATTTATGACTTCCTTTTTTATATATTTCCTTTAGCTTAAATGGAGTGAGATATCATTGATAAAGTATTTTGCAATAATTGTCCTTAATGGTTACACAAATAGATGAAGTTTTGACCTTTCTCAGGATATTTTTCCATTGTTACAAAGTTATATCCATTTTTAGATCTTTTCCCATAAAGGTAGTCTTGCTTTCCAGGTCCATCAGTAACAATTCATCGTACCATACAGAGATCTGGCCCTCTAAGATGGCCTTTCCTGTAATTAGTATCACTTCTCGGCTCTCTATGAGCTGAGGGGTGAAAACATTTTCTATCCTCTTCTGAGATATGAGCATCTTACATGGGCTTTGATATAATGCTCTAGTTGCAATAAATCCAATTGTTATATTAATATTCCTCATCAGTTCTTTGATCATATTAATTTACATAGTTTTATCATTACAGAATACCCAGCCACTTTTCCCTGACATACAGTATACATTGAATTTGATAACTCTGGTTAAAATTCTGGAAGGGTGTAAGCAGGGAGGGGAAGAGGCTACTACTTATCTGTGTCAGATTCCATATCCAAAGTGATGTTATATATTGTTTCCCTGTTGTGTATGTCTAAATTTTTGGAGTACAAAAATCAATGCACTATATTTATATTTAAAATCCTGTTTGAGTTCCATCCAGTGTACTAGGCTGATAGTGATTTTAACTGAGCCGCCCAATATTTTAGTAAATTTGGTACTACCAATCCCCCTTGCAGATCTGCTCTATAAAGAGTTGTCTCATTTAAAGTTAGGAGTTTACTGTCCCACAAAAAGTTAATAATTTTTGTTTGAATTGCCTCTAGAGTTATTTTTTGTATCCCTACTGGTAGGGCCTGAAATAGCAAATGAAGTTTTAGTAACTAATTCATTTTTACTGCTGCTTTATGGCCAAGCTAAGACAAATGTAATTCTTCTTTGAGTGATTGCTCCTGTGTATTCCACAGTAGGTGTGCATGCTCGCCACGTGCACCGGTGCTGGAAATTTTTCCCTTAGCAGTACCCGTACTGGGGGAGCACCCCGGCGACCCCTAGGGTGGCGCCTGTGTATCGCGCTATAAGGGGAGCCACGGGCTCCCTCCACCCTCAGTTCCTTCTTGCTGCCAGTGAAGGTAGTCGGAACTTTGTGCTCCAGCTCTGCTGCAGCCCTTTTTTCTCAACCTTAGTGGCGATACGATTGGCATGCGTGGCTTTCCTCATGCACCTCCGCAGCAGGGTGGTCAGGGTCCTCCTCAAGGACAACACCGCCGCCATGTACTATATCAACAGGCAAGGCGGGACCCACTCCCTAGCCCTCTGCCGGGAAGCCCTGACCCTATGGGAGTTCTGTATAGCCCACGATATCTCCCTGAGGGCGGGACCCACTCCCTAGCCCTCTGCCGGGAAGCCCTGACCCTATGGGAGTTCTGTATAGCCCACGATATCTCCCTGAGGGCGGCTCACCTTCCGGGTGTCCGCAATACGCAAGCGGACCGCCTCAGCAGGGTCTTCTCCCCCCAGTATGAGTGGTCCCTCCACTCGGAGGTCGCTCACCAGCTCTTCTGAGAGTGGGGAGCTCCCCAGATCGACCTGTTTGCAACCCGCCAGAACCAGCGTTGCCCCCAGTTCTGCTCCAGGGGAGGGGTGGGGGAAGGTGCAATCTCCGACGCGTTCCTCCTGAGCTGGTCGGGCCAGCTCCTTTATGCCTTTCCCCCATTCCCCCTCATCTCCATGGTCCTTCAGAAGGTGAAAGCGGACAAGGCAAGAGTCATTCTCATAGTCCCGGCGTGGGCTGGCCAGCACATGGCGGCCCCCCTGAGGGCACTGCCACTCCGCCCGGACCTCCTCTCCCAGGACGGGGGGTGCCTCCTCCATCCCAATCTGGCCGCGCTCCACCTGGCAGCGTGGCTGCTCCATGGCTGAATGAGGAGGAGAACAGGTGTTCAGAGCAGGTAAAGCGAGTCCTCCTGGAAAGCAGAAAGCCGTCCACGCGTCAGACGTACGTGGCAAAGTGGTCCAGGTTCGCCAGGTGGGCGAGTGAGCGTGGAGTCTCCCCCTCCTCTGCACCTCTCCAGTTTGTCCTGGACTACCTTTTATCCCTTAGGGCCCAGGGTCTGGCACCTGCCTCAGTTAAAGTGCACCTTGTGGCCATATCGGCCTTTCACCCGCCGGTGCAGGGGCACTCGGTCTTCTCCTACTCAATGACCTCTCATTTCCTGAAGGGCCTTGACCGTTCATTCCTGTATGCTAGGCCCTCCTTGCCGCAATGGGACCTCAACCTGGTCTTGTCCCATCTCACGGGGCCCCCCTTCGAGCCCCATGCCACATGTTCCTGGTCGCATCTCTCATGGAAGGTGGCCTTCCTTGTGGCAATCACGTCAGCCCGACGTGTCTCGGAACTCAGGGCCTTAACCTCGGAACCCCCCTATACGGTTTTCCATAGGGATAAAGTCCAGCTCTGCCCACACCCGGCGTTCCTCCCGAAGGTGGTCTCCGCCTTCCATATGAAGCAGAGCATCTTTCTCCCCGTGCTCTGTCCTAAGCCCCACTCCTCTAACGAGGAACAAGCAAAGTCTGGCGAAAGTGCTTGGGTCTTAGGTGGGAAGGTCGGGACTGGAGGCTAACTGAGTGGAGGGAGTGAGATGCGGTCACCTGCCCCAGCTGGCAGTCATCCTCTTACATACATCTGTGACTGGACAGCTAAACTGTGGATTCCATGTCAAGCTTTAATATTGAATGAGAAGGGGACAAAATTACAGGTCAATAACCAGTCAGTAAAGGAAAGTAAGAAGTCAGAGGAAAAGGCAGCAAAGGAGTAACAGTGAAAAAAGAGAAAGATAAATATACTACTTTTCCCTCCACTTGTCAGCCAGGATTGGGTGTGGTGACATTACTCTTCTGGGCTCTTGTATCATTTTATTCCCCCCCATAGGGTAGTTTTTCAATCTCTCTTTTGCCCTAATTGTAAAATAAATTATGAATTGGGGGTGAGAGAGGCTGTATCACATCCACTGGGATCTGATTACAAGTCTTGCTCCTGAGTGACAGCTCAATCCTGGTGTACAGTGTCATTCAAACCATTTCTCCTCTGCCTCACTTGAAGTACACAACAAAGCCCTCTCAGACTGATAGCAAAGGCAGCATGCAGGCTGAGAGAAAGCCACCCGGGAAGGAAAAGTTTAAAGTAACTGCCATAGTTTTGGCTTGAGGGTTAACAGAAGGTCTGGGAGACAGGGGGTGGGAGGATCTGATTGCCAGTGACTGGTGGTTTCAGAAATCAGGGAGAGGGAAGAAGCAGGTCACCAGAACCAGTAAACGACTAGTGTGAGAGAACAAATAGCCCTTCATAAAGTTGGGCTTCTGGCTTATTGGAGAGTTTGCTCTAAAAGATGGGAGTCCATTGGGAGTCCAGGCGCCTCCAACTGCTCAAGTGAGAACATCCATACACCAGTGACAGCTTCCAAGTAAGTATAGTGCAGTGAAGGGATGCACATAGATTTGGGGCTGGGGAAGAAAGTACCTGAAACATTTTTAAGGGGGCCCTGGGATTCAGTGAAGGGAGAAAAAGGTTCTCTCTGCAGTGTCTTGTGGGGTGTTGCGTATGCTTTAAGTTTGCATTCACAGAATGAAGCAGATCAGTTTCATTCCAGACCAGAATGAGGAGATGTCTGAGGGCAGCCTGTCTGTGGAATACCTGTTTCTTGCTGACCAATCCAACAGCCCAGCAGAGGAAAAGATGAGAGCAGATAGCTCTGACACAGACCTAGAGATTGAAGGTGAGCATTTGCTGGCCACACTTCCAACTAAACCCTTTCCTTCACAGTCAGTGCAGCACCTTTTTAACAAGAAGTGGAGTCCCTGAGCAGGGGACCAAGGACACTGCCTTATTAGGAATCCCAGCACCCTTCCCATTTTCCAGCAGTATGGGTAGGAAAAGGGTGGACTTCTCACCAAGGGCTCTGTCTCTAGATCATGCTGGTGGAGCCCCTCTTATATTTAGTATCATTCTCTAGCTAGTGGGTTTAGCCCTGTAGCTAGTAAATGGCTTGTTAATCAAACTCTGCTCACATTTTTATATATGGCAAAGGTGTCTGGAGCCTAGGATCGGCACTTTGTTAATGTACTATAAATTGAAAGGAGAAAGAAAGAAAATTAAAACCCAAAAGAATCTAAGAAAAGAAGATGTTTGGGAGAGTCCTCAAATATAACTGGCAAAAGTACTTTAACTAGAGTGGAGTTTGTGCTGAGGTTAAACCATTGCATAAATATAGCAATACGGAGAATACAACCTCTAAATACTAGGTTTGATGAAGAAAGTCCAAATGACGGGTTTTTACGGAAATGCAGCCATCAGCTGTCCTGGTCTGTTCTACTGCAGCTGTGTCAGCAACTTCCAGTGGCCAAGATGATGAGAACGCACAGTTTCTTTCTGCCATTTGTAAGCCAATGTGCTGCGGGTTGACCAGTGTCCTCTGGCACCATCTGCCATAGGCTTCACTTATGATAAATAAAATAAGGCTTCCTTGCCTCATGTCAGAAGTGCTTGTTTAGACCTGGAATGATTTAGTCACATTCCAGGTTTCTGGAGTTAGACATTAGAAACCAAAGCATGTTTCTGACAGTCAAACATAGAAGGAGTGGGTTCAGGATAAGTTGTCCCAGAAACAGATGTCCTTAAGAGCAGAGATCTTATTCTTATCCTGTGGAATTCCATTTGCCGTCAGCTTAGCTCAACAAGGCAAAATTAGACATAGGCCAGCCACAAAAAACCCAGCCCATGAATCTAGCGTGGCCTGTTGACTGAAAGGTTGAATTTGATTAATGAATCTGAAAACATGCGGAGTGAGAGTCTCATGAGCACAAAAAGCACAAGTGGCTTCTTGGCTCCCTGCAAGCCTGGCGACTCTTGGGCTGTCCCAGTCTACCCCATCATCACAGTTGAGGGGGAGAGAACTTCTCACGTGATCCTAATCTCTCCTTCCATCAAATTGCAAGGCCAGCCCTGGGCAAAAGGGAGAAATGCACAGAGATTCTTACTAGCTTGACTCTTCTGGGGGGTTGCTAGGCTCATGCCTTCTAGCCCTTCCTCATGAGGTAACCTATGGACCCCGGCAAGGAATCAACCAGTTCCCTCTGCAGGTGAAGAAATAGCTGCAGTGAGGGGGGGAGAGAGACGGGACACTGAGTACACTGCTCACAAACCCCCTTTGTTTCTATAGATACCGAGAGGTCCTTTGCAACCATGAAGGGTGCAGAGCTATATCTAGAAGCTTGCAAACTGGTGGGGGTGGTGCCTGTCTCTTACTTCCTTCGGAACATGGAGGAGCCTTACATGAACCTGAACCATCATGGTCTAGGACCCCAAGGTGCCAAAGCCATTGCCATCGCACTGGTGGTGAGTACCTGATCAAGGATGGAAGTAGTGGTGTCAACTCAAAGCCCAGAGGCATACTGGGCCTCTCCAAATTTTGGAGGCTATTATTTAGTGTGTGTGGGGAGGGGTGGGTAAATCTACATTATCCTTGTAGGAGCCCTGAGAAACCCCACCATTTCTAACCCTCTACACAGAACATAAGAACCACCATACTGGGTCAGACCAATGGTCTAATAGATTGGTGAGGCATGATTTCCCTTTACAAAAGCCATGTTGACTCTTCCCCAACAAATCATGTTCATCTGTATGTCTGATCATTCTGTTCTTTACTATAGTTTCAACCAGTTTTCCTGGTACAGAAGTTAGACTTATTGGCCTGGAATTGCCAGGATCGCCTCTGGAGCCTTTTTTTTAAAAATTAGTGTGCCATTAACTATCCTCCAGTCATCTGACAGAATCCAATTTAAATGATAGGTTACATAGCACAGTTAGTAGTTCTGCAATTTCATATTTGAGTTCCTTCAGAACTCTTTGGTGAATACCATCTGGCCCTGGTGTCTTATTAATTTATCAAAGCTGTTGCACCCACTAACCTTCCAACCAAAAAAAGGAACCTCTTTGCTGACTGTAGAAGGGTCCTACAAGCCCCCACAGGGCCTGATTTTCCAGCACTCCTACCCCTTACAGGCCCAGGGAGTAAGACAGCAAGATTGATCCAACCCTGGTTCTCTGCTAACCACTGGGCAGGCCCAGGGAACCTAAAATTGGGAATTGAACCTGGTTCTCCCATAATAGCAGTGCAGAGCATGAGTCACTTGGAAGCTACACCACTTAACCAAGTCTCTTTCATGTCCCAGCACCCTCAGCCCCAGTTCTGCCCTTTTTCACTGACCACAGTTATGTTAGGCACAGTTCCTGCAGTGCCTTATATGGGAGATATACAGGGACTGCGTAAATTACACCAAGGACATTGCCCATTTCACTAACATTCCAGCAATTCTCTGTCTCTCTCTGTCTTGTTTGGGCTGTTTTAGTCCAACACAACCATCACTCATCTGGAGCTGGAAGATAACTGGATCCTGGCTGAAGGAGTCATGTGTCTGGTACAGATGCTGCGAGAGAACTGCTACATTCAAGAGCTGGTATTCAATTTTCCTCCTAGTTCTAACACACTGGAACATGGCAATATAGGAGACATACAAGCTCCCACCATTAGTCATCTCATCCAGTATCCTTCCTTACTGGGGCAGACCATTGATCTTTCAGTTCTCGTATCCCCTCCTTGTGCTGTACCAAATCATATGCTGCATTTTTAATATAAAACAATAGTATCTGCCTCAGATTTTCTGCACAAAATATCTGAGGAAATTTTAGTTTCAAGAAAATCAGTTAATTAGTTTCCAAGTTCTAATTGCCTCCTCACAAAAATATTCACATTCTGAATGTCATAATTTTTGTGCCCCTCTAGTTTAAAAAGTATGAGCCGCAGAAAAGCAAAATAGTGAGAGCATGATGGGCTCACCAGCGCTATGGAATTATTTAGTTAATTTACAGAAACACACAAAATGATTACCTTCTTTCTCATAAATAAATCCTTCTACAGTATGGTTAGCCAATGGAGAAAATGTTCTGTATTGGAGACTTTCATGCTCCAACAGGGTATGTGGAAGCCCTTCTGAAGAGACTAAGAGAGGAATACGAAATTACTTTTTATATATGGTCTAAGTAATGTTTCCAGTATCCAAAATTGGGGGCATATGGAATGGATTTTGTAAGGTCTTGGGCTTTGTGTTGCGTCAAAGAAGATCTTTGACAAAGTAACTGCTGGTTCTTTGAAGACCAAGACCTCAGTGAAGTTGTTGTCTTCTATTACGAAGGAGCTGAGGTTGCACATACAAGTATCAAAAAAGAAGGAAACCTTTGGTTTTAATTACTGTCTAGGTGTGACCCTGCCTGACTAGTTGCCTCTGTCCTGCTGGTCTTGGATTCTCTTGGCCTTTCTTGCCCATTCAGCCACAAACAACAATAAAAGCAGCTCTATTCTGGGGAGGGGGGGTTCCTTTCATATGCTTGATACTTCCCTTTCAGAACATCTCCAATAACCACATTGGCACAGAAGGAGCGGAAGCCATCTCCAGGATGTTCCTGGATAATATTTCTAGTCTCCGGGCTGTTCAGCTCTCAGGTGGGTCCATATATTATAAGAAGGTGGCGGAGTAGGCGATTGATATGATAATATTTTCACTTCTATAGCTCTTCTCATCCTGAAAGCACGTTATAGACTATGGGCCAGATTCTGCTCTCATGTATATGTACTCTGGTGTAAATCCAGTGAAGTCTAGATTTATACTTATATTCATACCAAAATAAGGATCTGGCCCTGTATACATAGAGCACCTCTGAACTACAGCCACCTCTGAGCAATTTCGGTATGGCCCTCAGCTAGGCAATGTCTGAGTGCTCTGTGAGTCCTAAGACAACACTAGTAAGAAAGTCAAAAGAAGAGAAAGTGTGGAGGTAACCTCTTTCAACCCTATTTGTTCTTCATTATTATGGGATGCCATTCCAGCCAGCCCAGGAAGTTCTCCCAGACACAATGCGATGTCACAAAGGAGACCTTTGGGTTCTGTTAACACATGCTTCTCCTCTGCAGGAAACAACTTTAGGGAGGAAACTGCACAGTACTTCGCCGAGGCACTAGTGGTAAGTAACTTGCCAAGCAGGGAGGAGGTGGAGGGGAGAGTGGGCCTGGCAGGAAGCAGGTTTCTGCACAGAACCATTCACAGTCCTAAGGCTGCAAAACTTTCACGGAGGTCACGGAAGTCACAGATTCCGTGACATTCCAGGACCTCCATGACTTCTGCAGCGGCCGGTGCAGCTGACCCCAGGGCCGCCCAAGCAGCTGGGGCAGCCCTGGCGTCAGCTGCACTGGCCACTGCTCAGGTGGCCCCAGGCAGCTGGTCCTGGGTGCTGCCCTGGAGCAGCTCTCCAGGAGCTGCAGCAGCAGTGCCCTGGCCCCCCCCCCCACAACCATCAGTGGCAGCAGGGCCCCGGGCAGCGGTGGAGCCCTGGGCCACCCCAACCCCAGCAGCAGCGTTGGCAGAGTCCTGGGCCACTCCACCCCCAGCAGCAGCAGCAGGGCCCCAAGCTGCCCCCCCCAGCAACAGCATTGGCAGGGCCCCAGGCCATCCCACCCCAGCAGCAGCGGGGCCCTGGACACCACCCTCACACCCCCGGAGCAGCAGCATCCCCTGGAACGTCCCCCACAGCATCCGCAGGAGCGCCTACCGTCCCTAGCACCTAAGATTTAGTTAGGGGTATTTTTAGTAAAAAATCATGGACAGGACACAGGCCATGACTTTTTGGTTATTGCCCATGACCTGTCCATGACTTTTACTAAAAATAGCTGTGATAAAATTGTAGCCTTAATTAAGGGCTCTCCCCAGTTTAAAGCCCTTACTTACTTGGTTTGATTCCCACCAACTAGTGCCCACATGATTTCCTGACATAAGTCTGGTGAATGCTTGTCACTCGCTTTAGAAAGGAGACAGGCTAGGAGGACATGGAGAAGTGTGTACCAGGTTAATGTGTTCTCAGGACAACTCTTGGGGTCTGGCTAGGAGATGAACCCTCTGGAGTGCGTAACAGGAGTACAGAAGGGGTTTTGGGGATGCAAAGCTTTCAAGAAACATAAGTGGTCTGATTTTAAATCACTTTGAAAGTCACAAGTAAAAAGAAGCTTAGTGCCTTTCTCAGTTTATTCTCTATCACAAAAACCATTACACAATTTGGCAGCACTGGACATTTCTGCCCAGGATCTGAATTTGTAACACAAAGTGCTATAGGTCAGGATTGGAATGAGGCGCATTGGTAGAGGAGGAATATGGGGACTGAACTGGAATAGCAGGGTGTGCTGCAGAACAGGACTGGGTCCATAAACAGAGTGTGAGAGTGAAGTTTGAACAGCATTTGTTATTACTGTGCCTAGCTGCTTTGACTCCTCTGTTTCATGAGGAAAAAATACAATGTTAAAAGACTGACAAACCTGCTTTGTTCTGGGAATTATAATCCTCTATCTCCGTGGCAGGGCCGGCTCCAAGGTTTTGGCCGCCCCAAGCAGCAAAAAAAAAAAGCGCCACGATCGTGATCTGCGGCGGCAATTCGTCGGGAGGTCCTACGATCCGAGCTGGAGTGAGGGACCGTCCGCCGAATTACCGCCGAATAGCTGGACGTGCCGCCCCTCTCCGGAGTGGCTGCCCCAAGCACCTGCTTGACAAGCTGGTGCCTGGAGCCGGCCCTGCTCCGTGCTGACAAACTGCTGTGCACTTGAATAGCTGAGAGCCTATATTTCATTCTCTTCTGGGGTCTTAGGATGGCAGCTGACTGCAGCTGGATGGAAGATCTGATTCTCTCTGCATCATTTCTATCCATAGGGCAATTACCGAGTAAAGGAGCTGGACCTCAGCCACAATGAGTTCTCTGAGAAGGGAGGAGAGCATCTGGGACAGATGTTGGGTAACTCCAATCATTACTTCCACAGAGCCAGCTGGGCAGTCAATACAGGCATCCTTTCCCTTAGAGATCTCTGGGGGCCAGCCCTGATGCAGAAGTGACTCCACCACTTTTCTTACATTTTACCGCAAGAAGGTTGTGAGGCTTGATGGCTACTGTAAAGGACTGAGAGCTACGGCTTTAACCCTCCTGGCTTGGCCACTGATTCACCCTTAACTCCATATCGCTTTGGGTGACTCTCTCAACTTCCTTGGGGCTGAGACTTCTCAATCTGCCAAAATCCAAATCTCGGGTGCTAATAGTGTCACAGGGAAAGACCTTTACAAATCTCTTTCTTTCTCTTAGCATTTCTGCCTGTCTATCACAGTGACCCCTTGGCAGCAAATGTATGCTTTTTAACCACACAGTGCTCCCTTAAACTATACTGAAATCCTTTCTTTGGTCCAAATAACACTTTCATTTTCCTGATTCAGTGTTTCCACCATCATGGATTTACTATTAAGATCAGCCTGGGTATTTAGAAGACCGATAAATTCAATCCTGTGATGAGTGAGAAGGGACTGTGTTTGTGCCTCATTTAATCCAGTGGGGAAATGGGGTCTAAAGATAAACAGGGGCCCTCACAGAGCAAGCAGAAGCTGTGTCTGAGCCCAGCTCTCCCATGGAAATAAATGTCCTTCCTTCCAGCTCCACTGAGGCACAAAATGAAAAGATCTTTGAAAAACCATTTTTAATAGATTTTTTTTAAGTTGGACAAACCTGCCAGCTGCTGGGATCCAAACTGCTGTCCATGGAGAATCATCATAAAATCAGACAGGAACTTGTTGGCAGCCAGCCTCTTGCCTCAATCAGAGGTCATTTCCCAACACTGTAGCAGGACTCCTCTCTCACTAATGGATTCACACACAGCACTAATGGATTCACACACATCCTACCCTGAGTAAAATTGCCACCATGTGCCATGCTTTGCAGCTGGACTGGCACAGGCACACATACAGCTGTGTATATCTGACACAAAGGGTTGAATTTCTATTTGCTTGCTAATCAGCTGCAGGCAGAGTGCGTCTTGCTTTTTTGTGTGTGTAGGAGGGAGAATCCCACCCATCTGTTACAGAAAGTGAGCGTCCACTAATATTAACCATCTCCCTTCCCTCACCCGTCCAGTGTAATATGTTCTTTGCATAAGCCAGAGAAACTGTGTTCTTCTGCCTCCTCGAGCTGAAAATTACACCTCCAGCTCGAAGTGGAGACGTACCTTGCATCACCAACATATTCTCTGCTCTTCAGATTCTCTGGTGAGCACGGAGACTCTGGCTAGAGTTAAAACAGAGGCAGGTTTCACCTGCTACAAGTCAGTTCATGTTGTTGATGGATCTGTAGCAACCCTTTTTTCTTGGTCTCTTAGCAATTGTTTGGTGGAGGAATCCAGGCTCTGGAACTTAAGCTGCTCTTCAGTGGCATCTCTGCTTTTCTGATCAGGTTGATAGCCCTCAGAATGTTGCTGGGCCTGCCCTGCTCCAAAAAGCATCTGGAGCATAGGCTATTTCACGCTCTCCCCTTGTACAGAGCACCGTTGGGCCTCACAGGACCAGCTACCAACTCAGAGAGCTCCACTGCACACTGTCACAGCTCAGGGCAACTGCACCTGTATTTCCCCTCAGTGGTCCAACAAGGGCACCCTCTCCCAGGCCTCCAGCTCCCCAACTGTTGTCTTTCCTGTATCTCACTCCGTTCTGACCGAGCTACTACCAGGTAGAAACAGGCTGCCCAAGCACACACGCTTACTTTCTCTTCGGAGATGGTTAACGGTGTGACTGCCCACAGCTATAAGTTACCATACAGTTCTTTCTGAGCAAACCTATTTGATTCTTAAGGTCAAAGCATTACAGAGAAAACATTAAAAACAATGGAGGAACCTACATGCATGCCAATCATTTTATCAGAGATCACCCCAACCCTTACATGGCCTCTGGCAGGAGCAATCCTTCAATCTCCACCAGGGTTTTTTTTGTGATTTCAAATTCATCACAGCTTCAGCTCAGAACAAGCACACTCATAACATGTTTAGTCCACCCTTTATACAGTTCAGGGGTCTTTGATCGAGAATTTCCAGGAGCAGGTAATTAGTAGACAATGGGTTTTCCTCCCTGGACAGGGCTCAAAAGGACGGATTCCAAGTAGGTCATTTGCATTCCCCTTAATCCCCGGTACTTCCTAGGAAATCCACTCTACATGTATTATTCCAAAAGGCCCTTTGAAGTTTCTAATCCCTTCCATAGAGGGCATTAGTCAGTCTCCTTAGAGAAGTTACAGATAATTCCCCACTAACACATACACAACTGCATATTTAATACAATGGACCACAAAGGTATTGAATCTAATTTAATAAGGTTTAACTTAAATGAATAAAGTTCATTCATGACATTGCAAGAAATTGTCAGTCTGTCACACACACCTTACAAGAGGAGTATTTGGTGCTCAGGCCACTATCAGATTCCCACTGGAGGAAGGGGCAGTGGTCCCTGGTATCACTATCATGTATCAGTGATGGGGGTGTTATTAGTGGGGATGGCAGCAGTAGTGTCGAGTGTGGAATCAATACGGAAAGTAGCAACAGCAGGTTGTTTCTCTAATATAGGATGTGTTATTATTCCTTTAAGATCCCTAATAGTGTCTGTAGCCTGTTTCTGCAGTCTGTGTCTAGTGTCTTGGGAGGTGGAGAAATGGAGCATCTTTTGTATGAATATATTTGCATGTATTTGTACATGTATCTGTATGCAGCTCTGTGTGTAGTAACTGCAAGTGTATGTGGGTGTGGTTGAGTGAGAGAGAGACTGTGTGAATCTGTCTGTGAGCATGCTTACCACGTGTGTCTAGCTATATTATTTCTCTATATGTGTTCATTTGTAGCATGTATTGTCTGGTGTGTGCCTGGGATTACCTCATGTCTCACCACTCCTTCAATAACATGAATCTCTAGTCCCTTTTAAAATGCATTTCTGTTCATTCTCCTTCTTCAGCTAACATCTCTTTTCCTCTTCCTCAGCCAACAATGAAGCACTGGAGTTTCTGAACCTGAGCTGGAACCACTTGCGGATGAAGGGGGCTGTGGCACTGGGTGCTGGTCTCAGAGTAAGCCTCCCTCCTGAACAGTGATATGACTGACCCTGATTGTTAGCTGAGCTTGGAAGGTTGGCATGTCCTGGCTGAAGCACTGATCTGCCCTTGTTCTGCTAATGGTTCTTTCATATCATCACTAGCCATTCAACTTCCTGTATTTGCCAATAACCTATGCCCCTCTAATTTTACAGAGGGGTCAACTTTAGGCAATACTCAAAACCAAGCAACAGAGAAACAACAGATACTCCCATCCATACCCTCCTCTGACAAAGGGGTCTTCTATGACACATACTCCCAGTGACCCCTCATCTAGGCTTCTCGCCTGTCAAGCTTTAGTTGACTTTAGATTAATCTGCTTCAGAGATCCCTCATTGGGCAGAGGCACAGATTCCCCTCCCTACCCACTCTCTCAAACATCACACATCCCTGAGCCAAAGTCTGTCTGATGATGACGTAATGGCAAACATGATTCATGAAAAGGGAAATAAAAACAACCCAGGATACTACAGACCAGTTAGTTTAACTTATGTGCAAGGGAAGATAATGGAGCAAGTAATTAAGGAAATCATCTGCAAACACTTGGAAGGTGGTAAGATGATAGGGAATAGCCAGCATGGATTTGTAAAGAACAAATCATGTCAAACCAATCTGATAGCTTTCTTTGATAGGATAACGAGTCTTGTGGATAAGGGAGAAGCGGTGGATGTGGTATACATAGACTTTAGTAAGGCATTCAATATGGTCTTGCATGATATTCTTATCAATAAACTAGGCAAATACCACTTAGATGGGGCTACTATAAGGTGGGTGCATAACTGGCTGGATATCGGTACTCAGAGAGTAGTTATTAATGGTTCCCAATCCTGCTGGAAAGGTATAACAAGTGGGGTTCCGCAGGGGTCTGTTTTGGGACCGGCTCTGTTCAATATCTTCATCAACGACTTAGATATTGGCATAGAAAGTACAGTTATTAAGTTTGCGGATGATACTAAATTGGGAGGGATTGCAACTGCTTTGGAGGATAAGGTCATAATTCAAAATGATCTGGACAAATTGGAGAAATAGTCTGAGGCAAACAGGATGAAGTTTAACAAAGACAAATGCAAAGTGCTCCACTTAGGAAGGAACAATCAGTTTCACACATACAGAATGGGAAGAAACTGTCTAGGAAGGAGTACGGCAGAAAGGGGTCTAGGGGTTATAGTGGACCACAAGCTAAATATGAGTCAACAGTGTGATGCTGTTGCAAAAAAAGCAAACATGATTCTGGGATGCATTAACAGGTGTGTTGTGAGCAAGACACGAGAAGTCATTCTTCCGCTCTACTCTGCGCTGGTTAGGCCTCAACTGGAGTATTGTGTCCAGTTCTGGGCACCGCATTTCAAGAAAGATGTGGAAAAATTGGAGAGGGTCCAGAGAAGAGCAACAGGAATGATTAAAGGTCTTGAGAACATGACCTATGAAGGAAAGCTGAAAGAATTGGGTTTGTTTAGTTTGGAAAAGAGAAGACTGAGAGGGGACATGATAGCAGTTTTCAGGTATCTAAAAGGGTGTCATAAGGAGGAGGGAGAAAACTTGTTCACCTTAGCCTCGGCTACATTTGGGAGTAGTTGCGCCGCCA